CATCCAAACGCGCTCTAATTCAATTACTTTCCTTTTGAAAATTACCCCGTTTTTACAAAGGTTACGGAGCCCTAACCCCTAACCCATTCTCACCTCCATCGTTTGTCTAAAGTAAAGGGTGGTCTTGCTTGGTTTCGAAAGGTTGGAACTTGGAAGTAATTCCCTGCCCATCAAAGAAGCCTCCATTGTATTTTGGTTTTGGGTAGATGATGGAAAACAAGTTTGGGATATATTTTGGTTTTTATTTTAATTTTCAAAGCTATCATGTAGTTTGATAAATTGACAATTTGTATGAAGGCCTTGTTGCTTCAATGTATGAGACGATTTTGAAGAGCTTCATATTGCGATTTGAATAGTGGTTGGTGATTTCAACCTTCAACTGAATTCTGCCAAGATTGTGGTGAATGACTTCAGCTAGTTAGCAACCACAGTTTTAATTTATTTTTTGAGTTAAGCACAAGTTGTAACTTTAACACTCTTGCAGAGATTTTTTATGGTATTAATCTTTTTAGCATATAGGTATTTTGTTTTGACTGCCTTATACCTTAAATCATGAATGAATTCTGACACGCAATGTACTCATGCATATGCATAATGCATATAAGTCTTATTTTTTTTATTAAGAAGTGATTGCACAAAATGTAACTCTAACACTCTTGCTTTAGGAGTCCGCTTCCCATGGATGAAGTTCATGAATCACTGATCTCAGTTGTGTAGCCAATACGGATGACAACAAGGTGATAGGATGGAGCAATGTAAAATCACTGCATCAATTAGTCTCAGCAAAAAATTTGCTAATTACCTAAAAGTTTGTTGCAGATGTTCAGGCTTGTGGAATAGGATTTCTATAATTAACATGATATATCTTTGCATTTAAGTTTCAAAACATTCCAAAGAATAAGCTAAAACTAGAGGCATTGTCACATTTCATAATCAACTTCATATTAATATGGAAAAAGATGAATTCTTGAAGCCTTGAAGGGGTATGTGAAGAAAATTCCCGTCAACTCAGTCATCTATACGATTTCTCAAAGATCAATTTCAAAATCAACCATAACTTCATAACTTCTCGCGCAATGATTGTATCATCAGAAGTTCCCCTATCAGGGACTAAGCTTAGAAAATTGATTTACGCATCTCAAAATTCTTTACAGAATCTAAATTTCGTTAAAAGTTTTCGACGAAAATATTTTAGTCATATTATTTAGCAGAAAAAAATTTCGTCAAAATTTTGTACGTAAATATTTTTCGTCAAAATTTTTTACGAAAATTTCCAATGAAAATATGTTTTGTTAAAAATTTAGAGGGAAATATTCTTCGTCAAAAATTTCGACGAATATGTTTTTTTGTCGAATATTTTGAGGGAAATATTTTGACGGAATTTAGATTCCATAAAGAATTTTAACACAAAAAATTTTCTATCAGAATTTTTTACAAAAATATTTTTCGTCACAAATTTTTGCTGGAAATGTGCTATATTGAAAATTTTGACGTAAATGTTTTCTGACAAAAAATTTTACGCAATTGTTTTTATTCAAAAAATTTTGATGGAAATATTTTTGCTTGAAAAGTTTGACAGAAATATTTTCGTTAAAAATTTCAACGGAATTTAGATTCTATCAAAAAATTTAACTGAATTTTTTTCCGAAAAAAATTTATGTCTGTGATTATGGCCAATTCTTCTTTCGTCTCTATTTTCGACGTAATGTGATTTTCGTCAAAAATTTCGTCGTCACTATGTTCGACGAAATATTTTTCGTTGATAAATTTTGACAGTATTTGAGATTTTTCTAATAATATCACATTTAAAAATGATTCATATGTATGCAGTTTTTAGATTTTAATGCAAATGTTAGATAAGTAATTTTTAAAATTTTCCCCCTTAAATCCATCAAATTGGGGTAATTTTAATTTTAAGGGCGAGGAGGGTTTTCGAGGGTTTTGCAAAAATTCCCAATTCTCTTCCGTCATTTTTTTAAACTTACAAACAAGGAAAAGACTTAATAAAATCCTCCCTTTCAAGTTACCAAAAAAAAAAAAAAAAATCCTCCCTTTCCCTCCAAAAACCAACTCCCAACTAAAGCGAAAACAACTTTGCCCCAACTAAACGCCTGCAAGGCGGGGATTCATTGTAAATTTGTAATGCTTTAACTTAACAGACTGAGAGGTGATGCTATTGTTATCCATCATTGATGATGGCTTGATCGTGTGTGTGGAGGTGGTAAAGGAGTTCGGCCCACCATAAGAGTGGGATAAAAATATTAATCCCTATTATTTTATAGCAGGTTGACAGGTTAATTAGTTTAAAATATTTAAAAAATAAATAATTTTTTTTTAAAAATAGTATTATTTAACTCCATTTAACGTGCCCATTAATTTTTTCTCTCTCCAATTTTAAGCTTATATATATGTTAATATTTAGTATGACAGTTTTTAGGAATTTATTTTCGCTTTTATATATAGAAAATTTTATTATGAACAGAGTCTTTTTCTTTTATCTTTTATAGAAGAATATTAAGATAAATATTTTGAATATCATAAATCTTGACATGATAAATAAAATACCATTTGATATAGGGGGCAGGTTATATTTAGAAATTTTTTTGTTTACAAACTCTTACAAACTACACTATGTAGGACCGATCCTACATTAATCACACAGTGTACGACCGGTCCTATATTAGTATAATTGCAAAAAATAATTTGTAAACAAATCTTATCCCTTTGATATATACAAAAAAAGACGTAATAGATCAACCTGCCTTATGGCTAGACGAGTTTAACCGGATTGACGGATTGAAAATTTCAACTCAACCGTCATCATTTATGGCAGGTTAAATGATCAATTGGACATATTAAACCTATTTTGTCACATCTAAACATCCATTCCAAACGAAAAAAAAAAAATAGTGGCGCAGTGGACACAAAAGTTTCGTATAGGAGTTTTCTGACACACAAAAATAAAAAAATTCGTATTGGAGTGAACCTATATTTATAAGATGGAGGAAATCATTAGCTATTTGACAGATATCGGTTGGCATTATGGCCCATATTATAGATTCAGAACAATAACTATATGCATCACGATTTCTATTAGCTACCAAGGGTGTTCCATAGCTCTCCTCCTAGCATATCGAGTGGCGCTTTGGGCCCAATAACGATATGCATCATGCCTTCTATAGCTAAGCAGCGTGTTCTGCTAGGTATCCTAAATTAGCCCACTTTGCAGATCAAATAGGTATCTATCTTGTTTAGTCGTAGCTAATTTTCTTTTCCTTGCATTGAAAAATAAAATATGTTTTAATGTTTCTAAAGTGAATGTAAATAACTTATCTATATTTATTCTCAAAACGACGTCGTTTTGAGTTGAAAAATTAAAAAATTATAATAAAAAGACTATTATAACCCTGAAATAAATTATAATTACAAAAATACCTTGATTTTCGCCTCAAAACGACGTCATTTTGGGCTCAATGTAGATAAGTTATCTACATTCATGTAGAAAAAATGAACCCATAAAATATATGTTACAAATACAATAACACTTTCTCCCAATGTTATAAAAGCAGCTGTTTGTTGACTCGGTTGAGATGGTAAGTTATTAGTTTTGTTAGGAATCCAAGTTTGAGTGAGTGAAATTTTATATTAACTAAGATTTGACTAAGTGAGTACGATATAAGTAGAAGAACTTATACACGTAACACCTTAAAGTTTTGGGTTGAGTTGTGATGTCTAAATCCATTTAATTGTACACCGCTCTAATCATTTTCATTGCATATACTAATCCAAGAAATCTTTCAATTTATAACTTATACTTGCTTACTTTTTATTTTTTGTTATGTTTATATGAGAACAACGACTCTCATATTGTTGGAAAGTACATCTCTTTCCTACATATTCATCGATTTTCGTGTAGCTTAAAATTTATTATTTTATTATTTTATAAGTGAGTGGAGGTTCATCCTTCGGACTAATTCGATTCGAGCATTGTCGAATCTAAGGCAGAGGCGACTCTCCCAAGATCATTTTTTCCATTCTCAGGGCTCGAACTCGAGACGTCTGATTAAGGGACACAAGTTTCTTACCACTTGTGCTAATGATATTTGGTTCACACAAATTATTTTACCCTGAGCAATAATTATTTTAAGTTTCACACGTTACTTTAAATTTTTAATTTGGTAGATAAATAATTAGTAAGTGAAACTTTAAATTAATTTTTTTAGAAAATATTCCAAAAAATCTCTTAATAAAAATATTGTTAAATACGAAATAAGCTAATTCATATATACATATAATCTTATTAAGCGTAATAAGTAGATCACTCATTAAGATTTAATAATTGTTCGAGTTTATTTTATTTTACTTTTTCTTATTTTATTATTCGTATGCACTTTAAATTTATGTTTATAACTTCATATATATAATTTAATACTCGCATGTAACATGTGTAAACATAATAAAATGAGAAGAAAATAATTCATTCATTCATACGATAAAATATGAGCCCACGATCATATAATTTAGTTGATGACATTGTAAAAGGCCCACTACATCTGATTTTATGAGACCCATTGTTTGGAACACAATTATGTGAGCCTAAAACGTTTAACTTGCTGAAGCTGTTATTTTGTCTCTCTCCAGAACGTTACTTAAGTGTTTGCTTTTATGACTTGTGAATTGTCCTAATGCGGTGAACGTAACTTACGTATGTAACGTATCAATAATCAAAGGTCAAAATTCAAATTATTAACACATTTATACAAGACAAATGAACCCTCAAACAAGTATGAGAACCTAGTATTCACATTCACGTCAATGCAAACTGAACAAATACTTAATTGTGATTTAATAATTTAGTAATTAACCTATTAATGCATACAAAATTATGCCTTTTTTTGGATTGACGTGCAAAATCCCCTTCAACTTTGTCTTTGCTCTGCAAAAGGCTATAAAATGTGAACATTTTTTCTATTTCTGTTGTGGGTATAATCACATTGTCAATGGCCAACATTGCAGTTTTTTTGTTTTCACTAGTCCTGCTCTGTATTACAGCCGCACAAGGGAGGAAAACCCTTTATCCAAACAATGAATTGCCAGCATCCTCTCCTGTTACCAATGATGGTATATGCAAAACAATGGTAGACACACAAGGTTACACATGTGAAGAACATAAGGTACATATTTATAGCATGTTGCATTCCACCTGCCATTGATTATATAAAGGCATTTTGCTAATATATGAAGTTAAGGGTTCGAATCCAGGAATTAGAGTCTCTATGCAAATATGCAAGGATAAGACTACGTACAAGAATTGTCCATATCCCTACTCTTGCTAATCAGGATTTAATGGGGGGTAATTTTATGATGTAATATTTTTGTGTGTCTCAGGTTACAACAGATGATGGCTACATCCTAAGCCTGCAGAGGATGCCGGTAGGGCGGTCCGGTAAGACCGCAGACAAGCCACCTGTGCTATTACAACATGGTGTCTTCATTGTAAGTTGTGTTATATGAGAAGCTAACATGCTTGTCTTTGATGATTTTAGAAATGTAAAGGCAACATTGTGAGTACTCAACTAAATATAATTTATGGGGTGTGTGGTTTCAGGATGCTATATCATGGCTGTTCAATTCCCCAAATGAATCATTGGCATTTATATTAGCAGACAATGGGTTTGATGTGTGGCTTGCCAATACTCGTGGCACAAAATATAGCCAAGGACACAAATCACTTAGCCCTAATGACATGGTTCTTTTACTTATGCATTTTAATTTTCAGACTTTTCAGTAAATTAAACCAGTTTATAGCTACTCTAATTGATTGTTATTGATTTATTCATTATGTATAGGCTTATTGGGAATGGTCATGGGATGAATTAGCTAGTTATGATCTTTCTGCTTCAGTCCAATATGTGTACAACCATACTGGTCAAAAATTGCACTATGTTGGTCATTCCTTGGTGAGTTCCTAACTTATTTCTCTGTGTTTTGAGGTTTTCTTATCTTTCTAGTGAATATATATAACAATAACCTGAAAATTTTAGGGAACTTTGATGGCTTTAGCTGCTCTCTCTCAAGGGCAGCTTTTGAATATGTTGAGATCAGCTGCATTACTTTGCCCAATTGCTCATATGGATCAGATTCCTTCTCAGCCATCAAAACTTGCTGCAGACATCTTTTTAGCTGATGTGAGAGACAGAAGTCATACTATTTATTTTTCTTTTCCTTTCAACTTTTTCTTGTTTTTTATTTTGGTTCATCAATTGCCGACCCCAATTAGTTTGAGGAAAAAGTGATGTTGACGTTGATGTTGATTAAATACCAATCAAATACAATTTGACTTGATAATTTTTTTTTCCTTTTTCTTAATGTAACAGGACATATACTGGTTAGGCCTCCATGAATTCATTCCAAACGAGTAATAGAAAAACTTATCCTTGAATTTTACTATCTCTTTGTGCAATTATGTCTTTGAGTGCAAAAGAGTTAACTTTTTGGATGAAAGAAACTGAAAGGAATTTAAACAGTAACAATTATGTTCTTCTTCTAATGTGCAGGGATGCTGCATCCAAATTTCTTGAAGGCATCTGCAATACTCTAAACCTGAACTGCTCAAACCTAATGACAATTTTCACAGGTACTTAACATGTTATTGGTGGGATGAAGAAATTTCACTTTATATATCATTCTGATTCCTGCAGTTATTGACATTATTTTGGTATTGCTTAACCTGAAATTTTAGGTCCAAATTGCTGCATAAATTCTTCTAGGATAGATGTCTTGCTTGATCATGAACCACAACCAACATCAACTAAGAACTTGATCCATCTAGCTCAAAGTAAGTATACTCATTGATCTTGAAGCATTTCTTTTATGCATTTTCAGGAAACAGCCTCTTTGCAAATATGCAAGGGTAAGGTTGCGTATAAGAATTATCCTCACCTCACCCTTGTTAGTCTGAGTTTAACGGGGAATGATTTTTTTTTTAATTTCTGATTAGGACTAATAGTTACTACATATTTCTTATTGACCTTGCTATTATTGTATGTTCTTCATGTGGATTTTGAGTAGTGATCAGAACAGGAAAAATAGCAAAGTATGATTATGGTGATCCAGGACAGAATATGCTTCACTATGGAAAACCAGTTCCTCCTCCTTATGACATGACCACAATTCCAAATCAATTCCCTCTTTTTCTAAGCTATGGAGGGAAAGATACGCTATCTGATGTAAAAGATGTGAAGGTTTTGCTCAATGACCTCAAAGATCATGATAGGGACAAGCTTGTGGTAGTGTTCAAGGAAGATTATGCTCATGCTGATTTTGTTATGGGTGTCAATGCTAAACAAGTTGTTTATGATCCTATGATAGCTTTCTTGGGGGCTAATTGATTTCACAAATATAAGAGTACTTCAAAAAAGTGTATAGAAGTTTTTCATTAAGTTAAAGTTGAATGGAATATGTTACATTTTTCTCTCTAATCAATCACAAAAAATTGTGTTATGTTCTTAGCCGTAATTTAACACCATATAGAGTGGATTCCTTGGTCGGTCAAATTGCATTCATCTATGCCAATTGTCCTTTTGAAGTCAAATTTATGCTTACTCGTCCTTTTTCCTTGCTTGATATAAAAGTGATTAATGGAAGATTGAAAGCCAACCTACGATCATGGTAAATACAAAAACGGTGATAAATATTTGATGCAATCCAAGCTCTAATAAATAACCAACATATATTTTTACCAAAAAAATAAATAAAAAATAACCAACATACATCGTGTCTGTCTGTGTGAATTAAATCATAAAATAAGTCCTACAAAATAAAAATCAAATAAGACTAAATAATAATTATTCAACAAATATCATATGTGCAGGATATACTTACTATCAATTTTCTTACTATTAAATTTTAACACTTAATTTTCAGCAAGTTATAATTTATTAAAAATTAATAATTAATTAATAAATATCATCCAATTAATTATATCCATCAGATTGATGAAAATCTAAAATTTGATGATAAGAAGTAATAAATTTAATTGGTGGTAAATGGATCCCTCCGCAATATCATATAGAATAAAGTAAAGAAATAATAATCATTATGTTCTTTGGAATCCCACATTGGACACTAATTAAGTAAAATATCTAAACATACAACGTACATAAAAAATTGAAAATAAATTAATATCTGTCAGTCTCACATTTAATAATGTGTGAAACGCTCAAACTTACAATATATCTAAAAAAAACGAAGAGAAGGCATTTCATGCTACACTTAACCGTGCGCCTTTGTAACTTGGCATCCACCTTTATTTAGCTCAAATTTTTTGTTGTTTGAATTATTAGTATTATTTTTAAAGCCGTTCAAGATCATCAATTTTATTGATTTTGGATCGATTACGTTTGTTTCACAACGGGTTTTTAAGTATTATAAATGTATTGGCATGATCACTTTAACCTTTTCATTTTTTATGCCGAAAAGTTTTAGCTTTTCACCTCTTCTGGGACCCTATTTGGACGGACATTGTTAGCTTTTCAAAATGGATTTTGCCTAGTAATTTAGTGGCAAATCTTCTTTTTCAACCTTTGTGGTAATCTTGTTTTCCTTTTATTACTATCGTATCCTAGGATTCAGTAAAAGTTATATGATATATGTCCGCTATCTTTTTCAATCAATATTATATTAACATAGACATTCGATCTACACCCATTTGAGGAAAACATACTCATTTCCATCGTACCAAAAACTCACATTTGATACCGAATACATAAAAAATTGTGGTAAGCAAGAAAAGGTCAAATTAAAAATATGCTTTAATACTTCTTATATTGTTACAGATGAAAAATTTTATAGTAACACATAGAAAGTTAAGATATGCATGTGGATTCTGTTTTTTTTTCTTCTTTTTAAATGCCAGGATCCACAAGCAAATCCTAGTATAAATATGTTTGCAAATTTTTTCATCTATTATCATTGTAGAAGTGACGAACCCTTAATAATATAGTTAGTTATAAACATCCCTTAATGATAATCGATTACAATACAATCAGCAGAAAATATTCTTAAAAAGAAATAAAAAAAATTTCTCTTTGATAAAAATAATTAATTGATTATAAACCAAATAATATTGAAAATCTTAAAAATAAAATAATAATTAAAATTAGATCAATCTAATAATTGAAAGAAATATTAAAAATTTAACAACTATTTAAGCCCAAATCACCTCCCAAGTCTCATCCTTCAAAATATATCAAAATTTAGTTCACTTGGAGTCCGGACACTTTAGAGCCCTTAGTCCATATAAATTTACTGTAGTTGCATCAAATTGTCTTTTTATTTGCCAATGTACAAATAGAAGGGCTAAATATTATTTCATAAATGGTTGGTTTTGATTTTTTAATGTGGACAACTACACAATCTTGATGTATATATAGTTGAATATTCCTCCCTTCAAATCGTTGCATTATTATAATTCAGACTAACGTATCATTCCCTTGACAAATTCACATTATTTGAGGAAGCACCAGCTTCATCTTCTGGTTGAGGTGGCAATGATAGAATTTGTAATGGAGAGTCTGAAATGATAGCACCTTGCTGGGGTGGGTCTGATATAATATTAATAGGTGGAGTTGGATTAAGGAACTTGATAGTGGGGATGATGGAACATCTGCAAAGTGGACAAGTTGAGTTTGATTGTAGCCAGTGATGTATGCAATCAATGTGGAACACATGCTTGCAATAAGGAATCTGTAGCACCTCTTCTTTCATCTCAAATTCTCCCAGACAAACACAACATCTGTTTGCAAAATTTTCAACAAGCTATTAGCTTCATTTCAATCATGCATTTTCACAGCTTTTTATGTAGCGCAACAAGGGTAGGGTTATATTTATAAATTTTTTATTTACAAATTACATTATGTATTTTCAGAAGTATACTAGGTTACACTATGTACTTCTAGGAATACATAGTATAATTTATAAAAATTTATAAACGGATCCTTCCCCGCTCAACAATAGAAATTTTAAAATAGGGAAAATTTAAAAAATGCATGTGGTTTTTTTTTTTTTTATCATTTATTCCGTTATGTTTTTTTTTTTTTGTCCTTATCACTTAATTACTTTTTTTGTGATTTTTTCATTCAAGTCTATATTTAACATTGTTAGTAATTGAATTAAACGGCTCATTTTATCCATATCTTGCTTACATCAAAATCACTAATCTATCATTTAAATTTTGGTCAAAATCACTAAATCATTGAAGGCAATTTTTGGCTCGTGACCAAGATTTTTATATTAGATTAATTAGTAACTTTTTATGCAGGTAAAATAGAGATAAAATACGCGAGTTAGTTCAATTACTAATGATTAAAGGTGGATTTGGATGAACAAAATCATAGTGAGATAAATGATAAGAAAAAAAGCATTAGGAAATACGTGATAAAAGAGTAAATCACATGTAATTTTTTTGAACATTTGTCTATAAAATATTGATGGACAGAACTCTATTAGATCAAATTAATAGAAATAAGAGGTTGAATATCGGGAAATGGAAAAAGAGGGAACTACTAATAACTATTCATTCAAGTAATAAGGAATTTGTTATCCTTAATCAAAGGTTTCAAATTCGAGTTTTGAAAGAAAAAAAAAATAGTGTTGGGAGAGATGCCCTAATCTAGATTTGACAGTACTCCAGCCAGATTAAATCGGATTTAATAAGACAAAAAAAAACCAACATATTACACATGCTGAATTTGTTTATCTATTTCTTTCATGACTTTATTCTAGTTGGGACACCTTCAAATATGCCAATTATTTTCTCTGGTGCCAAAGAAAAGAAAAATCATTTTTCATATATTCTACTTAACTCTTTTACTTTCTTTTCAGGTGGCACTTTTTATGAAAATAGTGGATGCCATTAAATATTCGAAACGTACAATCTGTGAATTGAAGATTCTGCTAACAATTTTGGAGAAGTATTCGTTTATAAACTTTTTTTACAAATTACATTAAGTATGACCGATTTATATACTCTTGATTGAAGTATGACTGATCATACTTGTTGTAGTTTGTAAGAGTTTATAAACAAAAAGTTTATAAATATAACTTTTTCGAACAATTTTCCAGCTTTCCAAAGAACAACACAATGGTTGAGAATAAGTTTAATGATCACAAAGACACGCTAGCTGGAGGTGGACTTACAATAGAAAACAATATATGAATCCAAATTACATGCTCTAGAACACGTAGTATAATAATAGAGATCAAAGCATTTTAAGTTTAAGACCAAACAGAGAGGAAAAAGAAACAAATAGCAACTAATTAAGTACAGCTGAAAACCTCTATAAAAGAAAATATATAAAAAAAAGAAAAGAAAAGACTTACAGTGAATCCCTTGCTCGCAAATCTTCATCAAATAAAACTCTTGGAAGTTTTTCCAGAAATTGCAGGGTCAGATCCAAACGGCAAGGCTGTGGAATTAGCAACAAAAAAGACTAATATTTAGATAATTTAATTGATCACATAAAATGGATGGTGCAGTGCTAACATCCAAATATTTCACTTTGGTATTACATATAGTTGAATTATATAATGCAACAATATGTAATACCATTGGAAAATATAATTGAATATCTGATAAATATCACAGACTAAATATATAGGGAAAAGAAGAGATGAAGGGAGTCTTACTTACTGAGGAATGATAGTGATAAGTAGTTGGTGGATATGAAATCCTTGGAAGTAAGTGTGGAGAAGAGGATGAGAGAGAGGAAGCCCTTCTCTTGAGGTAGAACAAGTAAAATAGGAGAAAGAGAATAATGGAAAAGAGTATGGGAATTGAGAAAATGAAGGCCTGGTAAAGCTTAAGCTGAAGTTCCTGAGGATAGAGTTGAGGAGGAGGGCTTGTTGCAGTTTGGGGAGCACCCATGATTGTAAGTCTCCTCCTAACATTCATAAACCTCTTGCAACTGCAATATATTCAATTCAAGTACAAATGTGTTAAATGAAAGCTTTTAGAGAGTTAGAGATTTAGGGGGCGTTTGGTTCATCAATTTTTTTTGAAATAGTAAGGAAATGAGATAGATAGAGAAATGATTAGAAAGATAGATAAAGTGAGATAGGTAGAAAAATGAAAAAAAAAAGTTGTTTGGTGGGAAAAACTTTACTGGGAAAATTAGGTAACTTTATGAAATCAACAGTGCATTAATAGCCAGATAACCGGTTTTCTGAAAAATCCCACCTTCAAATTGAGTTTCTAAACAGTGCAGATATCTATGTTTCTCATAAATCTAGACAAATTGAATAGATGAGTTTTTGGTAAAAAAAACGTTGAAACAAACATGGTATTTCTAAAAGCCATACTTGAGAAAGATAAATATCCGTTGAAAAGCTCACAACCAAAACCACCTTAGAGTTGTTGTGTTGCGTAAGAATAGATAGGAAGAATTGAAGATGTTAATTATTTAAAAGGGTACAATCTAATAGGTAATAGCTCTGGTTGAGCATACATATACCAATATATATTGGTGGGGTGGTGGTTTGCTATTATGAGAGAATCAATTTTCTATGGCTCTTTCTTTGTTGGCTTAAAGAGCTCGGAAGTTATATATTTTATATATCAAAATCTTTAAATTAGTTATTGTTAATAATAAACTAAGAGATAATGAGCCTTAGAGCAGCTATAAACTTACTTTTATAATTAAAAGATCACATATTCAAGTGTAAAAAATAATTTCTTTATAAAAATATAATTATAAAACTGCTTGTAATCCATCCTCATCCAAATACTTACAATTAAAATAACCTTATATATATATATATATATATATTGGGATTTTCCTTTTAAATTAGGATGGGTTGCAGCCAATTACGAAGCCAGGAAATAATCCAAAAACTCAGCCACTGGCAAGATTATACCACTTTTTAAAACTCAATCAATGCCTATACTATAATATTTTAAAAAAAATTATACTATTTTTGAAAATTAGACAATACAAAGGCCCCAGACGTTGCTCCCCCACTTGTTGTAGCAATTAGCAGTATATATATGATTATAATGATAGTGGCAATGGTACATATTCTATCTTTTTCAAATGATGGGACAAGCCTATGACCCTCCACTTAGATATAGCCTCACGCCAACCAATTTAAGCCGAGTTGTCTTGATTGTTATATGCATGGGCCCAAACATCTGAGCGCAATCTTTGTGTGTCATTACTAGTGCTAACTTTTGAGGAAAGATAAGTTCGTGTGCTTAGTTAGTAATGCTGTCTGATGAACATAATTATATTACCTATCTGAGTTCACCATCAAAAGTTTAAAGAATTAGAAAGTCTATTCTGATTATACTTGTCAAAGTCTGATTCTAATTATTTTTAACTTTTGATTCATTTCATACCATGGTTTAGCACTATGCAAATCTTTATCCAACATGTCCACAACGGTCACCAAAATGGCAGTGTTTCCCAATTTTTTTTTTATAACAATATTCCCCAAATTTTTCACCCAAATATCACACCAACAGTATTATTTTTCAATATGTCACGTGGGCAAGTTCACTATAGTGCCCAGCAAACTCAGTTTGCTGATGTGGCATGTTTCTGGTGGACACCAAGTTCGCTACGTGGATTAGCGAACTTGGTTACAATTAATGCACCTGCACCCTCCCACCTGCCACGTCACGTGGCAGACATGCAATGAAATTCGCTGCTCACTGTAGCGAACTATGTGTAACGGCTAAGATGCCACGTGGTAAACATGCACCAAGTTCGCTGGGTGGACAGCGAACTTGGTGCAAGGACTACTTTTCTCAGCCTATATAAACCCCTTCCCTCCCCCCATTCTGTAAGAACCCGCACCATTAATTAAGGAAATTAATTAATTAATTATATGAGAATTAGGAAATAATTCCACAATTGACCATAATAATTATTATGAGGCTTAAATAATTATAGTAAGTGAGTTATAATGCTGAAAGTCGTTTTTCTGACGAAAGTGCAGATACCGGTTCTGCTACTCGGTATAAATGCGTACCGATGAAGTATCCCAGAAAATTATAAAAAGTATTTATATGTCACTAGAATAATATATAGGACTTGTAAAACAAGTTTCAAGTTAATATGATGAGAACTGGTGCCAAAACTGATACTGGCTATGGAAAGGTGCGTACCGGAAAGGTGCTGCGAAAAATAAAATAAAAATATGAAAAATCTTAGAAAAATGAGTAGGTTAAGAATTCAAAGTTTGGGATTAAAATTCTAAGCGTAGCTATTAGCGCTAACACTGTGTGTTTAATTCTTAAGTGACTATATATAAGCATGTGTGGCCCAAAACCCTAGGTGCCACTCATTTCCTATGTGACTTGGAGGCTGACCATCTTCTTCTTACTCCATTCCATGGCTTCTTCACCCATTTTGTGAGCCTTGTGACCTCTTTTCTTCATTTTCTCTTCACTAAATACCTTGTGTGTGTGTGAGAAGGATCCTCCTGAGGGTGAGAGGGGGCTGTGTTCTTGTTGTTCAGCCACTGTTTGGGGTGTTGAGGGGGCTGACCTTCTTGGTTTGGGTGAGGGAGCTTGTTGTGGGCATTTTGAAGTCCAAGGGGTGACCTTTGTGAAGAAAGAACCAACCTTTGATCATCATTTTCGTGGTTGAAGAAAGTCAGACTTGAGGGGCTGTTGTTAGAGCTCCAAGAGCACCTTCTTGCTCTGTTTTGAGCTTGTGGTATGATCATCACCCTTGTGCTTGAGTTTCTTTGTTAAAAATGGAACCTTGATGCATGTAATGAACTAAAGTTGATAACTTAAGGTTGGGTAATACTAAACACACCTTAAATCGCATGTTAAAGCTTCTGTATGCATGAAATGAACCACCTTTGAGAAGGATATCTCGCGAACTGCAGAACTGCATTCTGTCGCGAAATATCCGGATATGGATATCCGGATATTGATATCCGGATATGATATCCGGATATGAGGATCTGAATATCCGGATATAGATATTCGGATATTGGAAGAAAGATATCTGGATATTGATATCCGGATATGCCCTCGACAAATATCCGGATATTCTGGGTTTTTGAAGAACAGTAGCTACATTGTTCATACAGAATGATGTTTGGGGTTTGTGGACCCTAGATTGATTTAGTTGAGCTTCTGTATTGATTAGTTAAGCCAGAATCTAAGTGATTAAGGGCTTGTGGCTTTGCGAGAAGCCTTAAGACATGAAATGTAAAGGAAAGACGCTGTCCTTGTGTCTTATACTTGTTGAGTATGATATTGATATGTTAATTGGTCCATAACAGATTGTGATTCTGCTGTGTTTGGGTTTTGAGCTTTTGTGGACCCTTGGATTGGATAGTTAGCTTAAGAGGTAAGCTTTCGTGTCCTCGGTTTAGCCATTGTTGGTTCCACCATGTCCCATGGGGGTATGGTTATATGCATGATGTGTTTTCATGCTTTGATATTGAAATGTTATTGAGCTGTTTATGCGAGTGCCTTTATGATATGCATGTGGTGTTCCACCTATACGATAAGCCTGAGTATGTGGGGACATACAAGATGGTGAGGCTGTGGGTGAGGTGCAAGAGATGTTCCTTGTACTATATATGTGGGTAATAGACGTATTCCTGCATTTCTCTGGCCAGTAGAATAGTTATAACACACATGGCATGAATATCTGTTGCACTGCATAGTTTTGGAACTTATATTGCTAAATGCTTTTGGAACTTATATTGCACATGTAAGTCAGCTTGGGGTGGAAGATCCTTGAGGACCTCTTGTCTTACTGAGATTTCTTGTTTAGAGATCTCACCCCACGTTTGGGGCGCTTATTTCAGGTTCAGGTAATTTGGGGGCTGATGCCTCTGGCGGCAGGAGGCCGGAGCTTAGTTGATTATATTTATCTTGTATGCTGACATGACTGGGTTTGGATACTGTTAATGTTTTCTGCCATTAGTATGATTATGTTGTTGCTGTTGAGACTTGTTGGCTTTGTTGCCTTATTTGGTGAGCATGGGGATTGTTCATGTCGCATTGATTTGACTAGGTCTTGTTTTAGATTCGAGTTGTAATAATGTATCAGGATTATGTCCGGACTACGTGTAGTAGTTTCGTGATTTTAGATACTCACTGTTTTAATATATTGAGGTATTTCAATTAGCTGTCTTTTGCAATTTACATACAGGCGATGTTTTTATGAAATTGATTAAGTAATCAACTTGGCTAAGTTAATGATGTCATAATTAAAAAGAAAAAGATATTCCACATTTTAATTAAGCGCCGCTTAATACGATGATATGATAACAAACCGGATATATACAGGGTGTTACACATTCCCCCACCCCAACTCCTTTCCCTCTCACTCTAACTTTTTCTCTTACCCTTTTCCCTCTCATTTTCTATCACTTTTTTCTATGACAGTTGTGTGATGATTCGCTATACAGTATTGTTTTATTGATATCTGTACATTCTGCTTGCTTTCAAACACCTGTTCCTTATACAACTCTTGACCCATCTGCCAATTTGGTATTTATGCCCCTTGTATTTCATCACACTTCTGATCTGGGTGTGCCCAGTTAATATTTGTGTAATGGCTTATTTGCGACCAAAATGGTACAATATCCTCCCATGTATAATTCCAACGCATGTCATTACTAATACCATTTCAAATAAAATAAAAACCACCATAAATAAACTAACTTGCCAGTGGTGGCGGGTCATACGTTCCGCCAATGCCCGATGATGGAATCGGTTCACACAATGCACTAGACCACTCCCTTTCGAAATCACCATCAACGTCTGTATCCGATGAATCACTATCAGGAACAAGACCTTCGTCAACCTCTTCATCGAAACTATCAGTACGCCACGAGGGATCATACATGTCATTGGCAGGAATCACATCTGAAGGCATTGTTAGTGGGGGTGTTGGTGGTGGGGGTGACACATGCATATCTTCCGGATTGACTAGCGGCTCCCTGTTAATGTCTATGGAGTAACTGCAAAGGACAGAATGTTGAGTGCTTGCCTCTCCACCAGTGTTTAGTTCTGCATACAATTCGATGTATGAGGATTGTCCATGCTGTCGAAATGCGTCAACTACTAACGAGATATCTTCATCATCCACAGCAACCCACTACACCGGGTTACCGGAGGCTCATCTAGCAATCAATCGAGAGAGGGATTGACCTCGTTGTAATCTCAACTTCTTGTATATTATTTTCTTTAGGTCATTATATTTGCAATGGGGGCTCATGCGGAACATCTTTGTATCTCCTTCAAACACTTGACCGTTCGGTCCAAAATATCTTCTCCCATTGTAATATTAAATGGCGATTAAATCATTGGTACTCTAACTCATTATGTCGTAAAATTACAAAGAACAAGCATTAATAACTGAGGTTTTATGAAAAAAAACACCAGAATAGCAAATTGCATGTGGGAGGGGGATGAGGGGTATAAATAACGTTGAGTTCGCTATAATGGCCAGCGAACTGTAACTGTCGGCAGGTAGTTCGCTGTCTCATGCAGCGAACTAGTAGGGAGCTGCCAATGGCACCAAGTTCGCTGCAGGGTAAAGCGAACTTGGTCAGATGCTGCCACTTGGCACCTAGTTCGTTGTTCCATGCAGCGAACTAGAGGGGTGGTGCCACGTGGCACCTAGTTCTCTTGGACCCTCAGCGAACTAGGTGCTTGTCAGACACGTGGCACACCTAGTTCGCTGCATGTGACAGCGAACTTCTCCAATGTGTCAGCATTAATTGCAATCAAGTTCGCTACTCCACGGAGCGAATTTGGTGTCCACCAGAAACATGCCACATCAGCAAACCGAGTTCGCTGGGCACTGTAACAAACTTGCCGATGTGGCATATTAAGAAATAACGTTATTGGCGTGGCATTTGGATAAAATACTTGGGGAACAATGACATTTTGGTCACTGTTTCCATATATATCTATGGCAGGGATGATGACTTTTAAACAAACGTTTCAGACTTAATTTGGAGAGTGGATTTTTACTCACCAGCAACTAATCATTCACTTTATTCTAGTAAAGCTACATGCGATTTGTTTTGCGTTCCTATTCGTTTACCCTTTTTATTTTTATAATAAAAATATATGTGATATGATGCTTCTAATAACTTTCGTGAGTGATTATTTATTTAATGACCTATGAAGCAAAAATAGATCCCTTTTTGTTTTTATTCTTCGTTGAAGGTGAGGAAAAAATATATGTTACTAGAATTTTCCTCTAAACCTAGGTTCGAGATTGAGGTTTCCCCATTCCCTTGTTTTTTTCCATGGGTTGTAAAAGTGGGGTAGCCTAGCTAGTGTTTGAAAAAATGTTGTTACGAAAAACCCATATGTGTATTGAATTTAAGGGTTGTAGTTAAATGCAGATAAATTCTGGATAACAATAATAAGCATTAATGATAACCACACCTATTAATGAAAATAGGTTCATCCAAATAAAGTGTATTTTCTCTACATAATAAGAAGTTGTAGGAACTAGGAGGCAACATTTTACTGATTTTAGTCTATTTCAAGCCCAGCATGCAACCTTTCTCACTTTCTGCGTTATGACACAATTTCAAGGTTGCTTTTGTCATCTTTCCGATGACGTAGCTACCTAGCTACCTTTGTGCAACTTTAGTTTCTGTCTCATCTTGTGCAGAAATAGAATGCATTTTGATATGAGGGAAGAGTTAGGATGGAATCTCTTTGTTACTGTTGTTGGTGGAACGTGAAGTACATTAATCTATTTTCTATCTTAAGTGGGTTTGGGGTAAGATCTCAAACTGTACTATCACGTCTCTCTCTCACGTTACAAAGAAGCGGAACAGTAACTAAAGTGTTACGTTTGGACAAAAAAATTACCAGACTGTCACGCCAACAGTAAATTTTGTCAAAATGCCACGCGGCAGTGTAGCGAATTATGTATGCAAGTAATTCACTACACAGTGTAACGAAATACGCCACGTCAGAACGCATAGAACCAAAAATGCCACGTGTCAAATTTTGCAAAATTCGCTACATAGGGTAGCGAATTTCTCAAAATTTGACATGTGGCATTTTTGGTTCTGACGTGGTATATTTCGCTACACTGTGTAGCGAATTACTTGCATGCATAATTCGCTACACTGTGTAGCGAATTATGCTGCGTGGCATTTTGGTAAAATTTACTGTTGGCGTGGCAGTCTGGTAATTTTTTTGTCCAAACATGACAAAATGGTCACTCTCCCCGAAGAAGCTGCTCCTATATATCTTGTTTTACTCATATGCCATAACTATCAAAACAAAGTCATTCCACCTCCGTTGCTCTTGTAATCCCCACAAATAGCAGCTTGGAGATTTGTACGCTTGTCAAACATTCCTGATAAAGCAGAGAGTTGGTCCTAATTATGTTAAACTTGTACCACAATCTAAGTACTTTATGATTTGGTGGTGCTCTCCCATGGAGGAGGATCAGTTTATAAATGCCATAGAAGATGATATTCGTGACCTATTTGATAGAACTTGTAACTTGAGATTTTGTCTTCCAAGTTTACCAGTACCTTGTAATGGCAACTACCAAAAAATAATAATAATAATAATAATAATAATCATACAATAATGACTTAAATATGTTTTTGTCCCTGTAAATATACTATAAGTTTGATTTTGGTTCCTATTTAAAAAATTTCTTTTCCATATGTATTTAAATAAATAATACTCAAGATAACTTCAGCAACCACACACTCCAGGTACAGAGGAGTGACAGGCTATCGAACAATAGATAAAATTGCAGTGAAGGAAAGATAACACCAGGGAAAAGGAAAACTTATCACAAAGAACACAACCCACATTTTCCCTACATTCTCTGTTTACCTCACCATTTGTATCACCTATCATGTTTCCTGTGGCTGCCACTGATTTATCCACCTAAGCTTTTATGTATTGGGCTATGTCCTTTATATTCACAACACACCTAGTAAACTGTTTGCTTGCACAGTTGCACCTAATTCAATCTAACCAAGAGTTTTAGAACCCGAAATTACAAAATAATAAAAAGTAGAAAGATTATTATTATCAGATTCACAGGCCTATAGGTAACTCTTCATATTGTAAATGATAGCACCTCTCTTTCAATTACTTCATGCTACAAAAATACAAGAATCAAAATGAAACGGGAAAAATATCAGATTAACAAAAGATATTACATAGTCAATACAGTTTTTTTCTCCCCAACCATCTTTTTCTCATAACTAGTCAAGAGCTCAAAACAACTAATATTTCCTTTTCCTAATTTTGGAAGTCATTGAACGGACAATATTATCATCAGCTTGCAGTGTCTCCTCAAGAATGTCTATGGACTCGGGCTTCGTGAAGTAGGTGAAGAGGAGGTAGATACCATCCAAATAAGTGTTAGTCTCTCCTGCCTTGTTTTTCTTCTTGATGCTATATGCTAGTGGAATAACTCCTCTGTTAAAAACCTCTACATACATGCCACCTCCAGCTACAAGCAGCTACAAAAAGATAAATTATATTCGTAAACAATTTCCAACATAGTGTAAAAAAATTATTTCACACAATTCATCATCTTTATGGAAAAAAAAAAAAAAAAAAGTACTTCTTCAATTTCATCAACATGTATTGCAGCAATTTGAGTTATGTTGTAAGTTAATTATAACCTGAAATGTGATTAGATTGCCACCTTTCATACCACACATAAATACAACCTACTTTGTTATCAAGCTTCAACTTCATCAGAGAATGATCAATTTATTATTTAAAAACCCCACTGCCATATTAAGAGGGTCTTCATATTGAAGGGAAAATTATCAACATAAATTAAACGCAAATGACTACTGCTTACAACCACACCCACTTTAAAGGAGCTTCTCTTTTAAATTATTATTAATTTTATAACACTTAAATTTAAAATATTTACACTCAAATAAAAAAGATACTGTCATGCCAGATTTTCTCGAGACAATTTAAATGCCAAATGTGAATACCATTTTTAGTGCTCACAAAACAGCAAAAATGGATGAAATAACTGACAATCAGGGATTAATGATAGCATAATGAATCTTAACATATAACCAGAGCCTGCCCTTAAGGCACATTTGACTGATCAAGTACTCGACCCTGGGTAGTGCTCTACTAGGTCTTTACTACATATTATTTTGCGCATTGTTTCACTAAAAAATAATGGCAAATAACCAGCAGCCTACAGTGATATAGCAGATTTTCTTCCCATGAAAGGATAAACACTCAGCACAATCATATTCAGTAATGGCTCAAATGTTCCTTTCTATAATAACAGGCAATGGAGTCTTAATTAAGTGAGTTCAGCTTCCAAAATATGTCCAGAAACATAAAGGTTGTTGCATGGGAATAAAAAAAAAGTTTAGACTTAGACAAAGCATGTATTCAGTTTTCATTTTCCTCTTTTTACAGTTAGTGAAATATCATGCATCCACAATCTTTGCTGAATTCATCATTATCCGTACTCGACTAGAACATCTAGAACCATAAATGCAAAAATGAGTGTACTTCCCCATGCCCTCCTCCCGGGGCTATACATTTCAATCTGCAATTATTTCAGCTTTGTTTTCACTTGCAGAGTCAGTTCAGTTTGTACTCAAACATTTCTCATCCATCAAAATAAAATGAGAGAAAAAATGCGCTTTCTTCAATCCATGATAAGCAAATACTCGAGAGCAATTCTTGCCTATAACATTCTATCCCTCCTCCCTCCTACCCACATACATGTCAGTAACAAGGTCTAGAATCCTAGATATTGTATACATGGCTTAATTTGAAGATAATTATTCAGCTCTTCATAAAAAAACACATTGATAATAATAGGTCACCGCTAACCATTTTGTAGAAAAGATGATACAATAATGACACAGTAAGTTTCTATATCAGAATGTTCTGTAGCTTCAAAAGGAAATTTAGAAGTTAAATTTTTTTCAATTTAAATTTTGAACAAAGAGCTAATTTAAGAATGAGAGATTTCTTTATGTACATGGCGCAGTGTATGGTAGCACATTAAGCAGGAGTTCCAAGATTTGGGCCAAAGAGATAACCAAAATATTAAGAATGACAGAGCAACCAACACAAGGTGACAAACCTACATGGGGAAGTAAGTTGGAGTTTATGTGGAGATTCTGAAAGATAGTCACAAACCTTATGCATTTTGGAAGGTGAGAGGATAAAACCATGTTAGATTGGAATTCTCCAATCTATGATATCTACCCCTATTGACATTTAATAACAAAATTTTCTTCTATCTCCCCGGTTGGCACAGAGGAGACAAGCCCCAGTTTTGTCTGGGTTTTAGATATCTTTTACATATCCTTAACCCTCCAAGCATCTCCTTAATGCTACAGCATAATCCTAAGTTTTTTTTTTTTTTCCCTACATGCTATATGAATTTGGAGGATTCAATTAGAATTATATTTTGATTTTTGATTCTTTGGGAAGGAATTATTTTTAAGGATACTAAGGAGTTATTTTAGATAATTATCATAAAATAAAAGTCCTACTAGAGTACTGTATGCAATAATCAAGTTTTATAATGCTAATAAAATAACTTGCTAAGTGTAAAACAAGATACAACTCATATTTTTATTATTAATGAAGAAACCAAATCCATTGCTAGCATTTGTACATTGTGACAGGAACAATGATTACATACATATATATATAAAAATGTAAAATGAAAAAAGAAGCAAAGAAAACAAGTTCAATTTGATTATCCTAATTCATCATATGTTTTAAGTTGAAAACTTTAAAAGGGAAAGAGAGAAAGAAAAGGTACCTCCTCGTACTTTTGGGTGAGTGAGAGTCGCTCATCCTCAGTCATGTCGGGTCTCAAAACCGCCATTGTTTCGTAGGGTCTGAGACCGGGCGGGCACTGGGGCTCCTCCACAGCTGGTAATTCGGGTACGGGAGAAATCGGGTCGTTCTCCGACCCGAATCCGGAGAAGTCGAGGGTGTCGACGTTGACAGAGACGCTTCTCTTCTTTTGGTGAGTAAATGAAGGAGAAGAAAATGGGAAGGAACAGGTTGGCTTTGGAATGTTGAAGTTGGGGCCAAAATAACATGAGAGAAGAGGAAACCCTGTCATTGAAGAAGATGCCATTGCCATTGGAGAGGAATGTTGCAGCTGTTACTCTCTCTCTCTCTCTCTCTCTCAACAATGAATCAGTGTATACACCAAATTGTGATTTGATACAGATAAGGCAATCTGCAGAGTATGCAACCGATATTGGTTTGTTGGAGAACAAATAAAAATAGGGGAGAACGAAATAAAAAAAAACTTAATTATTGTAATTTATATTATTTCAAAGAAGCAGATTATATTTACAAATTTTTTTGTTTAAAAAACTCTTACAAATTATACTAAGTACGACAGGTCATACTTTAATCATCTAGTGTACACCGGTCGTACTTAGTGTAATTTGCAAAAAAAAGTTTGTAAACCGATCTTATCCTTGTTTTAAATAATGGGTTTGTTTTTTTCTTTTTTAAAGTATCGTAATTTTTATATAAAAGTTAAATATTTTTTATTGGTCATAATTTATTTATTTTTATTATATTTTCCGTCAATTCATTAATTATAATTTAATATAGTTTAAGTACGATCAAATTCATACAAAAGTTGCTCTTAAATTTTATTTTATTTTTGGTTAAAGTTGCTCTTAAATTTTTTATTAAGAAAATAAAATTACTTAATACTTGAACTAGTAATTATCAACAATATGTAACTTTTCTCCTTGAATATCTAATTTAAAAACTTAATAGGATACTATTTTTTTATGGGAATATCACTAGAGATTTCTACAGAGTAATAGCAATAACAAGTAAATAGAAAAGATAGAGAAATGAGGGATCAAAGATCCCTTTATATAAGGTGTTGGAGATTCTTTTAAACTGTGTAAAGTGTGATATCATAATCATCTTTAACTTTGTGGCCCTGCTAAGTGTGATGCTGCGTGACCTTGACATGTAAAATGTCATGTGTGCGTGAAAGGCGTGTAGGACACGTATACAAGGGAGCTATGTACTCCATATGCAAAGAGAGGGAGGCTTTATCGGATGGCCAGAGGGGTCAACTTGGCAAGGCTATTCGGCCGATCTAGAACAGGTATATACCTCGTTGTCCAAATCCACCATCTCATTCAATATATCCATTGCATCTTTAACCGAGTACAGGTCCTTATTCATTATAGTAGTGTCAGAATGAGCAATATTATAGCGGCATTGGTGTTGTTTAGACTTCACTAGATCTAGAATGGCCTGACATGCCACTTATAAGAGTTCTATAACTTACCTCTTGAAGCTTTGATCTTGTTAAATCTTCGACTCTTAACAATTGAAGGTCCCTCCTTACAAGTTGTTCCTTACTTCAGCCACAAATCCCTACCTTTAAGTTCCTCACTTGCATGCCAAAAGTTCCACTACCTTAAGCTGTAACTACTTCAAGTTCAAGTTGAGATTGAGCTCAATCGAAGAGAAGAAAAAAGAAGATGAAAGGGGGGAAATGGGTTTGTGGTTGTAGAGAGAAGAAGTAATGGATTTGCTCAAGGAGAAAAATGTTTATGGTTTGGTGAGACAGGGTTATTTTTCGGCAAAGAGAAAATAAAGAAAGTGAAGGTCTAGTTTTTTTTATTTATTAATATTCTTTCTTTTTTAAGAAAAAAAAAGAAAATAAATGGGTCTTACATTACCCCTCCCCCTGCCCTAAAAGAATTTTGTCCCTAGAATTAGGGCAATTGCTATTTTAAAACATCGGAATTTGGCCAATCTAACTCTAATCTTTTGGTGCTTGCCTCACTCAACCTAAAATCTCGATTTACCAACTAAGGAGTCTTCTAATACGATAATTGTTTCTTTATTCGAGGGAGTGTACATCCTAAACCAAACAATGGTTCACAATATTTCTTCTTACCTTCATTATTAGTAAACCAGTGTTTTATACAAGCACTAGCCAATAGCAACAAAAAGGAAAAATAACATAAAAGCAAAAGGAATAACAAATACAAAATAACAGAATAACAAACTCCCTAATTTCCCTCACTTGTCTAACAACATACTAATTACCCATACGTATCATTCCATACCTCTTAACAAGCACCTTGTCCTCAAGGTAGACTTGCCAAAAAAAATTGCAAGTAAACACACCAAGCAAACACTCTTATAAGGAAGTGGATGGCGGGAGCCGAAAAATTCAGTAAGGCCATAATAGAGGAGAAGGATTCCAGTAAAACATAGCCACTTATCACTATCACCAGAGCAGCCACAAGCTAGGAAATAATCTTTGGACAGGACCAAACAAAGAAAGGGAATGAGTGCAAGGGGGATTTGAACTGATTGAAGAACATTAAGCCATTGATTCAAAACATATAATGAGTCCTCAAAGGTATTAATATGAGAGCAACTATCATGGTTGGGATGATTGCACAACTTCGATAATTAATGTCCTCATCCGTTTTTTTAGCCTTAAATTCAGAAAACCTCCCATGATAAATTGTCCAGCATATGTATGATTTTGTTTGAGCATTTACACACATTTTAATCATATTGTGCCTTAATAACCCGGTTTCATGTCTTTGATTTGCAGTTCCAGGTATGAATGGCCAGCAAAATGAACAGCCTAGCTTCATGGCTGCCCTTAGCCGGGGTAAGAAGGATGCGGTCATCGACTTGACAACCAAAAAAAAAAAGGCTCCTAACCCGAAGGCCAAGAAGCCTTCTGCTGCTGATATGGGCACCCCCATCCCTATCGGCGATAGGGTCAAGGGAACCCCTGTTGATAGGGGCGCCCCCACCTCTACTCAAGCTTTGATCAAGACCCATGCTCCTCCCTCCGCCGCTGGTCTTACCAAGCATGCCTTATGGCAATCCGGGATCAGTGGTGATCTCTGTGATCCGTTTGCCCACCAGAGCATTTCTTTAATTCTACTCCCTTCACTACCTCTCAGGTGAGAGAGTTAGAAAATATGGAACTTAATTGTATGAAGATGGCTACGATAGAAAGGCCTTTACTTTCTTTGAAAAACAAGTATCTTCGTACCCTCAATGAGATGAATGCATCCCGGGAGGAAAGGGCCAAGACGGTTGCCGAGTTGGTGAAGGTGAAAGAGGATTTCACAACCCTTCGAGATGACAATACTAAGACCGTTGCAGAGCTGGCGAAGATGAAACAGGACTTGACATCCCTTCAAAAGGATCATAATGACCTTCAGTATTTGCATGCATGCAACTGTCAATCTTTGAAGGATTTTAAAATTGTTCATGAAGGGGTTGAAGCCAAGTTGAAAGAAGCCGAGACTGATGCCCAGTTTTACCGGGGAGAGCTTGAAAAGTCGGTTGTCGGTTCTTTCAACAACGCACTGAACCAAATTAAGGTTTTCAATCCTGGATTGCAGTTTAATACTACCGGCTTGCATCTGAAGGCCTACATCAGCAATGGTCAGATCATTTCTCCTCCAGAGTCCCCTGCTGGTGATTCATTGAAGGTGATCAAGTTAAGGGAGGTGAGGAGGTCACCAATCAAGCTCCTGTCAAGGTGGGTGATGTTTAGATGGAACAAGTGGAGACCCCTGCTGAATGAAGGACCGGGATGCCGGTTTATTTTGTAATTTTCTTTTTCTGGGGCTTTTGAGCCCCTTTTGGTTTTGTCGTGAATATTCCCGGTTTTCTTCCGGTTTCCTTTCTTAATCTCTAACGATTCTCCATTTATTTCATGCGTTTGGATAATTTTGCTTTTATACTGTCGTTTTGTATTTCATACACCCTTGATAACTTAAACGTATTTTTCTAAGTATTTGAGGTTTATCAGCTTGCTGAATTGCTTGAAGTTCTGGTGCTTCCCAATACTTGTAAGAACTTAGCATTTTCTTGATTTTGATAAACAAATTTTGCATATTTGTTATCTAGGTTTGTAACTTAGTCAATTTTCTAAGTATCTCAAACCCTATTCAAGTTTTTTTCCATCCGAGATGGATTATTTTTGCAACTTAGATATACGTTTCTCGAGTTCTTATTTATTGACCTGGCCGAGGTCAAGGCATATCATACAGATTCTGTTTTTTGTCATTCTTCATGACGCATGTTTCTTTTAACTCAACGTTTTGTTAAGTCAGCATTGATGAAGGTGATCATTGTCATCTTCAATCATTACTTGGGTTTTGTAACCCGGTTCTATCCAATGCAAAGACAGTATTGTCACATGTCCTATTTGGGTCTTTCAACCTTAGTAAGGAGCATTTCTACTTGATCAGAGTCACATGACAAAATGCACTTGTATCTCAAATTTTATGTTGATGCATCGTAAGTTTGTAAGGATAAGTTTCAAAAAAAACTCCTTATTTATTGATATCAAATGCGTTGATTACATGAATTTTCCGATATAGTCGGGTTTAGCCAATCCCTAAACAAGCAAAATAAATCGCCTAGAAATTGAGAATACTTCAAATATTCAGACTGTGGATCCCGGATTTAACTGTAATACATTTTCAGTTTATCCGCATTCCATGTTCTCTTGATAGCTTTGCCTTCTGTCGTTTCCAGAACATAGGCTCTTTTTCCAAGCTTTTCTTTAACCCGGTAAGGGCTTTCCCAGTTTGCAGCCAACTTTCCTTCTCTGGCATTCTTGTTGCCAATATTTGTCCTTCTGAGTACCAGGTCATTTTTCTCAAATGCCGTTGGTCTCACTTTTCTGTTGTATTTGGCTGCTATCAGTCGCTTGGTTGTCATTTTCTGGCAATGTGTCGTAACTCGGACTTCATCAATAAGGTCTAGCTCGGCTGCAAGTAACTTGCTATTCTATTCTTCTTTTTGTTTGATAGTGTTTATCCTTCTCTACGAAGGTTCCCCTATCTCAACCGGGATCATAGCCTCACATCCATAGGTAAGCCTGGAGATTGTCCTGTCATTGTTTGGGCGCTTGTTCTGTATCCCTTAGAACAAAGTATAACTGATTAACCCAGCTTTATTTAGCATATTTCATTCGTTTTCTGAGCCCATCAATAATTACTTTGTTCGCAGCTTCATCTTGCCCATTTGATTGAGGATGTTCCACAGATGCGAAACAGTGTTTGAATTTTAAGTCTTTCATCAATTCTTGGAACCTTCTATCGGTAAAATGGGTTTTATTATCTGTTACCACCTCAGCTGGTATTTTAAATCTGGAGACAATGTTTCTTTCAAAGAATCTTTGCACACGAGATGAGGTTATCATGGTGACGGGTTCTGCT